AGCGCTACAACCACTGACTGGGTCCCTGTTCTGCTGGACTTTGTGAACATAACTGCCGATGCTGTCTAGTTTCAAATGTCCATCTAAATTTTAGCCCCAGACATTCCGTATTTACGGAGCAGTAATTTGGCGTGTACTCCGCATTGTCGCTGTTGCGTTAGTTGAGCAGAATCCCTTCGCTCCTTGAAGTAGACTCGATTTTCTTTTGCAAGGGTTTATAATGTCCAGCGCATCTGACTTGAATGCTTTTAAATTGTGGTCGGCGATGAGGTCGAAAGCCAGAGGATCTTGCTAAAAGCTGCCCGTTCTGTTTTATTTCTTTAGAAATTAAACCTGCTGTTTTGGTCTTTGTTCAAGTGGGACTCATATTAATGTTTTTTTGGTAGGCCGTTTTATCGCTGCACTTGTGCGTTTAGTGGCAAAATGTTTGTGTATAAAGCGTATATTTAATAGAAATTAGCATATTTGCGTGAAAGTTAAGTTCACTTGTTTTCCATTTCAGCTAAATCCCACAACTTGGGGTCGAGAAAGATTCCGAGAAGACATCCGTTATGCGTTCAGCCGCTTCCGTCCAGTGAAATCATACACTGAAACTGACGAGACATTCACTTGTGGCGCTTTCTCAGTAATGTTTTATCACTAAAAAGTAATTTTGAAAGTAGATAAAGTTTTGAATTCATTTTTTCTGAACTGCGTTTCAGTAAATGCTACTTCATTAAAAGCTTTGTTGAATCGGCCAGCGAGAAAACCTGTTTTACGATTATTTTTATGCGTTTTTTGCAGCTATGCAATGCAGAAAACGCATATTGACGAGAGGTTGTCTGTGCGTGTGTTTGTGTTTCTGTGTGTACGCTGCGCATCTCTATCGATTTTTCATCTCGAGACCTACAAAAGCTACAGAGCTGGAAACTGGGGGACTTAAACTACATGTGTACGAGCCCCCATCTCCGAAATGGACGCTATTACTCGCGTGGTACTCAAATACGGGTCCACCAAAGTTTTTTTCGGGCAAGTTAACTCGGGAACCTGAAAAGCCAGAAGGCTGAAATTTTAAGGAGATGTTCCCCGTCCAAGTAAATATTAATGAGTTCAAACCCAACCCTCGGAAATGCGTGGTGCCCACGTACGGGCCCGTGAAAGGCTTTTACGGGTAAATTAACTCAGCAACTTGAAAAGCTAGAAGACTGTAATTTTAAGAAAATGTTCCCTGCCCTCAAAGGTGCTAATGAGCTCAAACCCAACCCCCAGGTGTGTGTGGTACCCACGTACGGACCCGTGGAAGTTTTTTTCGGGTAAATTGCAAAATCGGAAATCTGAGAAGCTAGAGAACTGTAATTTTTAAGAAAATTTTCCCCATCCGCGTAGATTTTAATGAGTTCAAACCCAATCCTTGCGTATGCATGGTTCCTATGTACCAGCCCGTGATTTTTTTTGCGGATGCTAACTCGGGAGCCAGGAAAGCTAGAAAGCTGAAATTTTAAGGGGCAGTTTCCTGACAGTTCTGGCGGCCAGCCTTAATTTGTTTAGCTAGAAGCATTTGCCGGAGAAACTGGTACCGGTGGCGACAAAAACTGCAGGGAGCTGTGCCAAAAACGCATCTTCGCACGGCAGCCCTTACGTTGGCCAATTATTTTGAACCGGTCTTGCTCCTGCCATATGTTTTTGGCAAGCTGAGTGCGCCAGACTGTCATACTTGGACTGGCAAGTTGTCTTTTTTTAATTGTGATGGGCATTTACCAGCAAGCATGTAGTCGATGAATTTTTAAGATTACATGTTCAATGAATGTTTAAGATCGATGACGAGCATATCTTGTTGGGTACTTATGCT